TCACATCCAGGGCTTCCCTTCTCCAACCCCCTGCCCCGCGCTACCCTGCCGGGGGGCTATGCGTATGTATTTCCAAGTTCTGAGCAACACCCAGCTAGTCTCCCACGCAGCACACTAGCGTGGCCAGTCAGCAGCTGGTCACCTCCTCGGCTTCAACTTTAGCTCGGCAGCAAAGACAAGTAAGTAATAAGGTTCAACAAGGGAAGGTAATTGCATTGGCCTCCGAGCCATGTGAGTGTAGTAAGGCGGTTGATAAACGATGTAGTAAAGCCAAAACCAGATATATTTATTTTTATCACATGAAACATTCTATTTATAAACGATTTTAAAATTTTCTTCATAAACTACTAACACAATTACAATTAAAATTTGAAGGTAATAGAAGTGGAAGGTTCAATGTAAGAATTGAGAGGTATACAGGGCAATATTTATAAAAAAAGCTCTTAGGATCTTTGGGAAATTTCAACCATTTTTCTTGCCCTTTAATATTTTTCCCTAGAAAAGAAATAGCACTAGGGAAATGAAGCTTTAAGTCTGGCTCAGAACATCCATACTTTTCAGTCTCAAACAAATCCAGTGACGGATCACATCCCAAATCCTTGGGATGCCTATCAATTGATTTTGTACACTACAATTTCAATTAGGTTTGAGTAGTCATTTTTGGTCTCCACAATTTATAGAAGAGAAAATAGAAAAGGAGACTTGCCATGTGTAAAATGAAAATCTGCGAATTTCAAGGGGAAAAGAACACATGTTTGACATGCGTTGCGTATTTGACTTTTGTGCGAATAAATTTGCATCAAGATTTAACAAACTTGGCACTGCTATCATTCCAGTGTATCAGACTGCTTGATAGGTAAACATTTCTTTCTTTTTAGAGCACTTGCATGATTTCTGACGAATTTATCTTTGTAACGGCAGCTCACACATTATAACACGCATGCATAAAAATACATATGCACTTCACTAAAACTGTAAATAGAACATCACAGCACATCAGATTTTTTCCATGGAGCCAAAGTCCCTTCTGCATCACATTTTCACATCAATTTAGGCACCACTTAAAAAATCTACGCATCCGGGGAAATTCCTCACAGCATACATTGGCATCGATCATGAGCTGTATTCTCTCATTAATTGACGCATAAATTGTGCTTCCCACAGATTGAAAACAGGAGCTTTCCACCCGTTATGCAAACTGAAATTAAATTAGATGAAATCATAATATAGACCTCAACTCGGCCTGTGGAGTCCACAACGCCACATGGTGGTGTTTATGGTCCCCCTTCACATTCGCAGTCTACTCACTGCTTGGTGAGCTTCACGGTCTCAAACGGATTCCCCGCCTCACCCTGAAACAAAGATCAAGAATGTGTGAGTTGGTTGGGTAGTTGTGTTTAAAAAATTAAAAATCCGAAAAGTTTTCTGGAAAAATTGCAAATTTTA